TATCGATCTTTATAGTTTTGAGAACTTGACTTTTATCAAAATATTCAAGAAAAATTTAGCAAAACTAATATATAAGGTCAAATATATTATAAAAGGGTGATTAACTGAAGGAGAACATTCAAGGCTCTAAAATAAAATCCTTTAAAAGTATATTGATTTTATGAATAATAGTAGGACTCGTTTTATCAGAATGTTACCAGCTTATGCTATAACTTTGGATGAAGTTGAATCAAAACCCTTTAGTAAAGTTAAGCGGGCAATTGAAAGGCATAAGAGATAAAATTAAAGAAGAGTATGGTAGTTAGATATCTATTAAAACTGAGTGATCTAGTAGATGATCACAGGCATTGAGCAACTGATTCATACTAGTTATTGCGTATTTATAAGATCAAAAAGTTATTATTGGAAGGAATCTACCACAACCAGTCTTATATTATCTCGAGAATAAGCTCATTAAATTAACTATTCACTTAATGGAACAGAACTCCAAATAATCCTTTAAATATGAAAAGCTCAAGTGATTGAGAAACCTGATAAAATCGAATATTCACCTAATGGATTTATGTGAAAATATCATCCTATTGAGTTTGTTTATTATATTCAAATTGCTAATGATAATTTAACTGAAGCTCATCAAAATGTGATAGCTATTGCCTAAAAAAGACTGAACGAATAAATAATTATAGTATATATCATTAGTCTTGTGAAAAAGGTGCACATTAGTGGAAGTATCCACTAAAATATATCATGAAAAAATTTGAATAGTGTTCACTATGTTATCATACTAGAGAAAGAAATTGCTGATATATTTTTGAGAATTTGTTAGATAAGAAATTCCTATTATATAGGGTTAAATTCTTAAATGGATTACACTTGGATGAATATAATGAGGAATTGCGACTTGCATTCGAATTTCAGGGTCCCTAACACTATCATCATAATAGCTTCTATCATCAGGAGAATGAAAATCTAAAATCACAAAATATGTGCGATCAGAAGAAGCGAGATATATGCAAGAACTAAGGTATATACCTTATTGAAGTGCTCTATAGTATAGATTTATATCTGTTCATTAGATATATGCTAATTAAAAAGGATTTTTAGATAAAGTGAAATCTAACTCTTGAAAGTTTACATGATTTTAGGCAAATAAGTTCGCTGAAATTTCTTATTTGATGTGCTTTGTATATTGTACTATATGAAATTTTTTGTGTATAACGTTGACAAGATCTTCAGAAAATCTTTGAAGTAAATAAAAGGCAATAAATATAATTCAGATTGGTCTTTTCGTCTTCTAGTTACTGGAGGTTCACATAGTGAAAAAACTAATATGATTATCAATCTTATTCTAGACAACAAACTCCAACGCATGTTTAAAGGTAAGAAGAGGAATAGATATATTAAAAATGATGATCTTATTTTAGTTAGAAAGCATGTTGAACCTAAATGGAAACTAGTAAAAAATGCTATCCACATTTTTGTGAATAGTCCTATACCATATTGAGAGAATATCACATTTTAAACAATAAAAGCAGAAAAGATTCCAAATATAAGCAATTCTTCTTGAAAAGAAGTACTGTTATTATTTTTAAAGATCTTTATGCTAAATTGAAACAAGTACAAGAACGTATAGTCCCTTACTCTATTAGTAGACAGCATCAAAACATATCCCATATATACGTGACTCAAAAATATTAAACTGTACCAAAGATAATTCGTGAAAATATTTCTCATATAGTATTATTTAATAATGGAGAAAGTAGAAAAGATCTTATTTGTATTATATATTAATTTGTAGATAATCCAAAAAAAGCATCTAAAATCATTGAAAAGCATTTGCGAAATCAGAATTTTATAGTTTTTGATTTTACTAAGGCAGTAGATGATCCATTAGCAATTAGATTAAGCTGAGATACTCCTTTAAAATTAGAAGAATAAAATCTAAAACTTAGTGAATCTTTGTTCACAATGAAAAAATTATCCTTAAATGATGCTTGTATTATTGCCAAATCTCATGGTAGAATATGTCTTTCAACTGAATATAAGGATAACAGAACTCCATTAATATGACACTATTCTAAGAATTATACATAGTCTGCTCTACTATATAGAGTTAGAAATTGTGAAACATGATGTTCACATTATGCAGGTAATGTAAAATATACTTTTGAAAATATTAAAAAAATCAGATTATTTAAACATGGAAAATATCAACTAAGTATAATTAATTGCTATTATTGTGACATTGCAAAGAAAACTATTTATAGCATGCATCTTTTGGCAATATAAAAAGTGGTAAGTGATGTTCATATTGTGCAAGTAATGCTTATCTTACTCTTGAAGATGCCAAACAAATTACACTTAGCCGAAATGGCAAATGTCTTTCAACCACATATAGAAATTCTGATACTCTAATGATATGAAAATGTCATAAAGGTTATATTTGGAATAGCCCGCTTCATCATATTAAATATTCTAATTCATGATGCCTATATTGTGAAAGTTGTATAAAGTTAATCTTTAAGAACGCAAAACAAATCGCATTATTTAGACATGGGGAATGTCTTTCAACTGAGTATAAAAACATAGGTGAAACACTTTTCTGGAGATGTCAATCTAATCATCAATGACAAAATTCACTTAATCACATTAAAAATAAAGGATAATAGTATCCATTTTGTATTGACTGATATCAATCTATTGAGAATATACTACCTGAAAATAAGTTTGCGCGGTTTTGAAAAATAGTAAATAAATTTATGTAGTTTTGAAAAAATAGTTTATTATCATTTTTTTTTAACAAAATATTAATATCTAGTTGGCTAACCATTATTGATAATACATGCTTTTATTCTTTAAGGCATACTATCAATTAATTTTAGGTAAGTTTCTTGTAAAATTTTTTTCTATTCTTCTTTTAGTTGCACTTCTAAATCTGCAAGTTTTTTAGGCAGATCTGAACGATTATGCAACAAACGTTTAAGATAATTCCAAAGATGTTCAATAGGATTTAAATCTGAAGATTAAGCAGGCCAGTTAATTAACATTTTAATTTTTTTTTTAGCAACCCATGCTTTAACATCATTAGCTGTGTGAATGGATGCATTATCATGCTAAAATTTGTAAGATCAGTTACGAAACTTTGAATCAATAAATAGCAACAGGTTATCATCTAAGATTTTTATATAATTATGCCGATTGATTATTCCTTCTATTTTCACTAAAGGATCCAATCCTTTGCCTGAAAAACATCCCAAACCATGACTTCGCTACCACCATGTTTAATGGATGGATTCAGATTTTCAATATTAAAATGAGTGCCTGGTTCACATCAAACTCGAGAAGGACTATCATTACAAAAAAGAGTAAACTTTGATTTATTATTCTATATAATATTTCTTCATTGTTGTACTATCTAATTTTGTCTTTCTAAGCACTATTCTAGCTGTTTTTGGCGTTGATTTTCATTTAAAAATGGTTTTTTTGCAGCTTGATAAGAATTGTATCCAATTTGATGCAAATTCTTCCGAATTGTTTTGGTACAAATATCTTAACCAGTTGGTGCTGAAAATTTCTTTTGTATTATATCAGCTGAAGCTTTATTATTTTTTTTAACAATTTTTTTAAAATTTTGCGATCTTTATCATTAAGTAACGAAGGTCAACCACTTCTTTTTTGCTTAACATGTCATCTGAATCTTCATATTGTTGAATTATTATTCTAACTGTAAATTCTGATCAATTCATAATTCTAACAATATTGGACTTTCTGTGGCCACTTTTATATAATCTGATTATTTGTGCTCGTTCAATAACAGTAAATTCAGGATTTTTATCTATTTTATTAGAAATAAGTTGTTAGATTGATTATTATTACATTATATTTATTTATGTTTATAATTATTTTTATTTTATATATATTACAATAACAAACAGTTATATAAACAAGAATCAGGACTTTCAATTAGTATCAAAATCAATTGATTTTATTATATACAATTTTGAATAAAATTCAATAAACTGACTACGCAAACTTATTTTCAGGTAGTGTATGCGTAAGCTTACGTAAATAAAAAATGGAGATTGTCTTTCAGATCGATACTATAATTTACATGTCAAGCTAAAATGGATTTGCAAGAATAAACATAAATAGGAATCTGTTCCCAATAGTATTCAATAAGGAAGCTAGTGTCAATATTGTGCAGGTAGTATGAAATTAACTTTTAAGGATACGAAGCAAATTGCATTATCTAGACATGGGTAATGCCTTTCAACCAAGTATAAAAATAATCAATTATCACTATTATAGTATTGCAAAGAAGGCCATATATGGCAAGTATCTCTCTGTAATGTGAAAAGTGATACCTGGTGTCCATTTTGTTATAGATATAAATGCGAACAATTATGTCAAGAAATTGTAGCAAAGTGTCTTGGTTTACCATTTGAAAATCGCAGATCAGATTTCTTGAAAATTCCTGAGCATCTTAAAGAATTAGAACTCAATATTCCCTATCATGAATATGGATTTACAATTGAAGTGCAAGAAGAGTAGCACAAAAAATATATAGAATTCTTTTATAGAGAAGACCCGAATAATTTTATCAAGCAATAAGAGTAGGATCAACTCAAGAAAGAATTATGCAAAGAAAACTGTATTGCTCTAAAGTATATTTAGTATTACAAAAACCCATATATAGTTATTCCAGAGCATCTTCGAAAATTGGGTCTAATTAAGTAAACTCGAAACTTTAAATACTCTATAATTATATAATTATTTTTTCATATTTCAAATGTAAAAAATATTGTTATATACTTTCGACAAGTAAATTTATATTTCCAATAGATGCAGTTATATATGATGAAACTTTTTCTGAGATATATAATATGATAAAATGCCTTTTAAAATTTTACAATCTTGGAATGTACTTAATTAAATTATGTTGACTTTTAATCTAAGAAAAAATTTATATAATTCAATTTTCTACCCTTCTTATTTAGGGTTTATGAAGGATTTCCAAATAATCTTTCTTTCTCTTCAGCTTTTTCCGGATTCTTTCTTTTTTGATTTCTGTGTACAAGTGAATGTGCAAGTGAAACACTATTTGTATATTCACAAATAGTATTCAATATAGTCTAAAAATAGGTGAATATAATAGTAAGATTTTAAATATTATCAACTATAGTAATGATAAGCATATAATACCTGCAAATCTGTGAAAAATACATAGAAACTTTTGAGTACTGAGAGCATTTTTAGGGTGTTAGGCATCTTTGAATGAGAAATATTACCAAGCTGTAGTATGTTCATTACTTTACAGTTCATTCCATATATATTATAAACCCATCCTTAGCAAGAAATAAAGAAAAAATCTTTAATTGATGCAATTTCATTATTACAATTATTTCTTCTACATAATTACCTTATGAGTGTATTCCAAAAACAAATGTAAAATGAATTTCAAAGCTAGGCGTATTAGAATTCTCACTAAAGAATATATATAAGACATCCTGCATTGCTACGCTTAGATCAACTTTGTCTTCGTAAATTTTTTTTCAATGAGACTCTGGGAGTCCACCACTTCTGAGACTTATGAGAGCCTCAAGTCTGTTGATACTCTTTTTTAAAGTTCCTCAAAAATCGCACTTTTGTCCAATACGAGCTCTAAGAATGATAGAACGGCCTTTATTTCGGTGACAAGCTGACACTCAGCATGCAATTTCTTCACTTTAAAATTATATAAGATGGAATGTGATTACATAAAACCAGACTGGTCATATTCTTTATCTATACTTATACATCTATCTTTAGTTCTTCCCTATTTAAGAATCTTTTTGTAAGCATGTTAGGCAAAACGTTATTAAAGTCAGCCTCAGAAATGGAAAGATCAACTCTTTCTAGATTTTCTGCACTATATGTACAAGAATTGACCATAAGAAAACAAAATAAAGTTTTGATAATTATATTTTGCTTCATTCACTATGTGATAACAACCTGTCTTAAAATTGAAATAACATTTTTTTTTCATCGCTAACCTTTATTTTTCAATTTGTTTCAATAATTTTTAGGGTTAATCTATCAATCGCATTGATATCCTTATCATCTTTTTTTATAATCTAAATTGTTTGAGTCAGCAACATTTTTTAAAGTGTTGAAATAAGACAAATATTTTCTTCTAACTTACTTGACTAACTTCATCGAAAAAATACTCTATCACATCAAGAAAATCTGATTCATTCAATTTAACTTCATTATTGAAACTTTCAACCATTTCTTCCCAGTTATTCATCGAGAAAAGAGATTTTATTTGGGTATTCTCAGTTAAATTAAGTATATTCCAATATGCGAAGCTATAAGTGAAAAAATTTATAATTAAAAAAAATCTTCACTAATGTCTATATTATCTATCAATAAAATCTACTTCAAATATTTTTAGGCCTCAAGAATTATCTTGACGTGACTTGCCTATTTATTTTTTACGTTTGTATCACTACGGAGAACCCATAGACATTAACAGATTAATGATATTAGCTTAGATTTTTTATATGTTCTACGAAGTTAATATTATCAATATCATCATTTTCCTTATCTATAAAGAATTTGTCAATCTCATCTGCGGACTCTTCTTTCTGATCTTCTTCCTCCAGATCTTCTCCCTCATGATCTTTCGTATTTTTTATCGATAGCCTATCCTGTAATAAAAAATTATCTAATCTTTTTAAACATACTTATTAAAAACCATTTAATTTATTTTTTTTGAGGAATATGACTAATTTACCTTACTTAATGACAACGTATTTATCTCCTTATAAAGATTAAGATTGGTATTATGTACACCACAATGAACTAAAATCTATATATAAAATTGTCAATATTAAAATCAAACCATCTAGGGTAAATTACTGGATATACCACTATTTTTTATTGCATTCATGTTTCCCAATCTTCTAAAATTCTTGCTTCCTGTCACAAAAGAGAGCAGAGTTAGATATAAGAAATTGGCACTTCATTCAATTACGTACATTGGCTGATTTTTTTATTCTTTAAACTTATTACGCAACTCTTCATCATCAGCTTCTTTAATAGCAAGGTCAAGCGTCTTCTTATACTTTTCAGATGCTTTAATTCAATAAGATAGAAATATAAAAATGCAAGAGGAGTTGAATCAGAACAAGTTAACATCCAGTCGACATGGTGTTCTTGCTGGGATATTTTTTTTATGTTGCATAAGAATTTTGATTTTCTTATTATCAGCTTAAAAATAGGAAAAATTTTTAAGTATATCATTAATCAAAGCAAATAAGATAAAAAATCAAAGCAGTTGTTCTTCAAATAAGGCTGGCTACCAACTATTATAATGACTTACTATTGCTGGCTTTTGATAGTCTCCCTCTGTCGCAGATGTCTTATTTGCTAGACAACCCTCTGATAACTCTAAGCAAAAAGTCAGCTAGCTATTAACTATTACGATGACTTGCTATTGCTGACTTCTGACAGTCTCTCTCTATCGCAGATGCTTTCTTCTTACTAACAAAAGCTATGGCTTATAAAGAGAAGAAAATAGCTATCCAACTCACCTGGCTAAATAATATTTAAAACGTAAATTTGACAAATAAAGAATTTTGACGTGAAATTGAGATCAGTTATGAGATCAATATTTTTTTTTATACGCTATAGGTAACATGGATATCCGTCACATGATCACATAAATGATTTGCAGAGTATCATTTATTACATTATATACACTTTAACGAGAATCAAAAATGTGCTAATTTATGTCACACACGCCTTTATGCATTGTGGTTAGACAATATATTATTTTATTAATACAATATTTGGGATCTGAGTCAAGGTTTAATCTGGAAAATTCAGCGCACAAACTCACAATTATCATCTGTGAAATTCACAGTAATATCCTTTCCATAAATATAATATATGTATTTTAACGGTGAATCGCATATAGGTTTTATTTCTGATGATTTAATCTTATATATCTCGTATTCTGAAATTCTGATGAAGTATATATAATTATACTTTTTATGAATACTATAATATCTGGGATTCTGTAGCTATTTTAACATGTTAAGCCAATATGTATCTCTAACAACTAAATAGCCTTGCTGATATAATAATTTCTTAACAAGTATAAATGTTGCAAAAGATGATTGTTACCATAATTAAAGAGCAGTTAAAGCTGTGTTTGATCACGTGACTAATTGATTAGCGGATTACGTCAGATGATTGACCATGATACATATAAATTACATGAATAAAAATAAATACTTCATAACACATAGTTTATTTTTATTTTTTCTAAGTTATTATAATGATCTTTTAAATATAGCGAAAGGCTTCTATATTATATGAAGTTCTAATTTCTTTTGTTTGTCAATAAATATTTGTTAGCAAGTATAATTTAGAGGAGAAAATTTTTTTATTTGAAGTTTTTTTTTGTAATGTATGTTAGTAAATATAATATTTTTTTTATTAAAGCTTTGTTAGTAAATATAATAATATAGTAAAGGTTTTTGGAGGGTATTTTTCCAGTTTTTTTTTGAAGTTCCATTTTCTTAGAGGTTGTTTTTTTCTGAAGTTTTTTTCTTCAAAGCTTTTTTTTCTTCAAAGTTTTTTTCCTACAAAATAACACAAAATAATACTTTAGATTAGTATTCACAAAATAACTCAAACTTTTTTCTATCAAATTTTGAAGATTTTTTTTTTTGACTTTTGGATTTTTTTCCTTTACAAAATAATACTCTATATTAGTATTACAATATTAACACAAATTAATGACTCTATTTGCTTCTAATACAATAAATTCACCTATATCTAAAGCCTTAATTTCTAACCAAAAATGTATACATCTTTTCAATATTAATCATCTATTTGAGGTTTCAATAGAAGAGTTTAACAAGGAGTAGTGACCTCTTATATCAAATATATAGACTGGATATAGCTACAAAAACAATGTTAATGGTGATTCATGAAAAGTGTTTGTTTGTTACTTCAACAAACATAATAAATCAAGTATTCAGAAGGAAGGTGTCTCACACAACAAATATTGTATAACAAAAATTTGGCCAGCCAATATGTGTTATACAAAAATCAAGGTTTAATATTACACTTCTAAAAAGAAAGTACAAATCGAATGATTTAAAGACTCACTTGATCATTCACATTCTTTAGAAAAAAGTGAAAAAATCAAGCGTTCAAATATTATTTGAGATTTAGTTATACAAGAAGTTTCAAAAAATTATCAACTACCAGAAATCCTAAGTGCAATAAAAGAATACACAACCAAAAACCTGAATTTAAAAGAAAGTGTAAAAAAGTTGAGACGAAAGGAGATTGCGAATATAAAATATAAAGTTTGCAGATCTCTTAATGTATATTTTATTAGCAATCCCAAATAAGAATCAGATATTCGAGATATCATTTTTTTTTTGAAAAAACAAGGATACTTGGTTAAGTTTTATGAAGCTTCTCACCTATCTACTTATGGTTTCATTTTTATACATCCAAATCAGCTTAAAAATCTTGAGTAATACAGCTGGTTAACCCTTATAGATTCTACGCATAAGACTAATAAATATAATTATCACTTATTCACCTTATATATCTGCAATTATTATAGATATTAGGATGTCAGAGCCCACTTTTTCGTAAGTAATGAAGACTGTAATACTATTATACAAGGCTTGAAGATAATTAGGTGATTTGCATATAATTAGAGTCCAAGGTATTTTCTTTCTGACCAAAATAATGTAAAATCAAACAGCATCAAAATGGCTTTTCAGGTCTTAAAAATGACAAGCAAAAGTGTGATATTTTTTTTGTATAGTTCATATCATGCGAACTTGGATGAGTAAGATTTATGATAAAAAGACACAACAGAAAATGGTTCATACCATGCATAAAAGGACTAGAATCAGTTATGAAGATCTTATTCAATAAGCAATCAATAAATATCCAATTCCAACTATCAAATAATATATTTTAAGAAATTATGTAAAGAATATACATCAATGGATACTATAGTCGCAATAGCATTCTTCTCTTCTTTTATAGGTCACTTCAACAAATGCTTTAGAGTCCTATCATAGTGAATTAAAAAGAATCTTTCTACAATATGGTTTAATTAATAAGTATATATTTTATTATAATTTTTATATTATTACATTATAATTTTAATAATAAATCAAAATTTTAATAAAATCTATTAAGTGCATGTTATAAGATAGTTGAACTTGATAATAAAAAATGTTTTGATTTAGAATTGTTGCCTATAAATTTCATATTAAAAGAATTTCAGCTATTGGTATTGATAATAAGATTCTTCAGGAAATTTATAAATTTTCATTTCCTATTCAACAAATACTCATTAATGAATGTTATACTGTTGAAAGACAATTAAAAAAAGGCAAAGAAGTACAGATCTTACAACTTTAAGTTGTAATTGTTTATTTTTTCATCAGTACTTATTGCCTTACTATCATATATTTCATGAACATATATATAGGTTGATTGCTAGGAAAATCAGGTTTTGAGAATTTTTTAACAAAATTAAGATTTTTATTGCATTTTAATTCTTGATATTATTAGATTAAAATGTATTAAACTCTTAATTTTAGTCAAAAATTTCTCAGAACCTGATTTTCCTAAAAATCCTTTCATATAGTTTTACAAAACTTTTAACACCTGATATGTGGAAGAAGTTTTAGCAAATGTTTGATGAAATTGGATTTGATATATATATGTATTGCAAATTAGTTAACTTGGAGGTACCTAGGATGACTGAAGCTAAGAAGGCAATAGAAAATCAACAGTTAGCTATAAATGAATTAACAGAAAGAATACGTAATATATTAGAGGATTAAAGAAAGAGGTAATATAAAACAAACTGATGCATTTATCAATAAATTGAAAGATCATTTGAAGCCTATTTTAAATAGAGAAAATTAATAATTTTTTTATCATTATATATATTGTTCCATAATGATTTTGTAATTTTTTTTCTGATTATATAAAAAACTGTTCTATGATAAAAAAAATCATGTGTTTTTTGTTTAGTAACTTGAAAATTTATTCACGTGACTTATTTATATCATGGTCAATTATCTAATGTGATCTGCTGATCGATTAGTCACATAATTAAATACAGCTTTAAGGGCACTGACATATATTAGCTAATATAATTTTAATATAAGCGTCTACCCCTCCACCCTCAAGTAAGATGATCACGTGCTGCTGATCATTTCCCTTTTTAGATTTGTAAGTTAAAAGTAAATCAAGAAACACAAATAATAAAAAAAATATTTTTATTGATTTGTTTTAATTTTTTTATTCCAAATAACATTTAAACCATTCAAGCATCTTATTTTT